CTACACTTCCCTGTACTCTGCCTCTTCTCCTCTTAAATAGCTTATCTCCACAGGGAAATTATAGCAATACAGGCAATTGTGTTTTTTATGGCCTTATGCTCCCAGTACTAAGAAACTGGATGCAGCAGGACACAGGTGCCTTCTGCAGGAGCAGCATAACTTTAGCTTAGAGTACCATCAAAGATTCATAGATGTAGGGTCGGAAGGGACCTTGTAGATCTTCTAGTCCGACCCCCTACCCCGGGCAGGAGAGAAAACTGGGCTCAACTGACCCCAGCTAGGTAAACGTCAAGCCTCCTCTTAAAGAGCCCCAAGGTAGAAGCCAGCACCACTTCCCTTGGATGTTGGTTCCAGATCCTAGCTGCCCTGACTGTGTAGTGCCTTCGGATGTCTAGTCTAAACCTACTCTAACAACTTATGGCCATTATTCCTTGTTACTCCGGGAGGCGCTCGGGGGAACAAGGTCTCTCCCAAACCCTGCTGGTCCCCCCCTAGTAAGTTTATAGATGGCCACCAGGTCCCCCCTCAGCCTTCTCTTGCAAAAGCTGAACAGGTTAAGGTCCCATAGCCTCTCCTCATAGGGTCTGACCTGCTGTCCCCGGATCATGCGAGTGGCCCTCCTCTGGACCCTCTCAATGCTGTCCACATCCCTCCTGAAGTGCGGCGCCCAGAACTGGATGCAGTACTTGTGACACTGGTCAGGCCGCAGTTGATAGAGGGGGAGGATCACCTCCTTGGCCCTGCTTGTGATGCATCTGTGGATGCACGACAAGGTACAGTTAGTCTTACTGACTGTGTCCTCGCATTGTCGGCCCATGTTCATCTTAGAGTCAAAAATGACTCCAAGATCTTTTTCTGCCACCGTGCTTTCGAGAAGGGAGTTCCCCAGCCTGTAGGTCTGCTGCTGGTTCCTTCTGCCTAAGTGCAGCACTCCGCACTTGTCAGTATTGAATCCCATCCTATTTTCATTTGCCCACCACTGTAACCTGTCCAGGTCCCGCTGTAATCTGTCCTTCCCTTCTAGCTCTGCATCCTGGGCCCACAGCTATTAATGCAGAGCCTCTAACATGGAAAGGTGGAAAGAGTAGGAAAATTGATAAAGAAAGGACTATACTATAAAGAGAACGAATTGCCACAGCTCACAACAGATCCACAGCAGAGGGTTCAGCTTTGGTCTCCAGCATGTAGCACACAAGTCGACTGCTTGACCTAGAAAACCCAAGGTTACCACCAGCTCAATTTCTGTACAGCCTAGTCACCACTAGAGAGGAACAGAGCACTGTGCAAAACTAGCATGACTTATACAGGCAGCTTTATACATATACAGCTCCTCAGGCATGGAGGTAGCTGGAGACTTTATGAAGCATTGCCACTTGCCCACATTTGGTTCTAATTCACCTAGAACAGGACTGTAGTGAGGCAGCTGCACTGCATTTATGCTGTACATATGAAAGGTTCAGTGCCCACATTAAAGGACCACATTGTAAGTCCCAGAACTTGTCCACTTGATGGCATCAACACGAAACCTGACGCAGTTAATGGCAGAACCATGCTTTTATATGACAGATTGCTAGGAATGAGGACTTGGATACATTGGGAAGAGTTATTTGGGGCCCAGAAAAATTTTTCAGACTAGAATCAATCAACTTCAGCAAAACTAAGTTAGGGGGGCTGGGAGAAGAATATCCATGTCCTGCCTGGCTTCGTCTAGCATGTTGTCTTTGATCATCAAAGACTCAGCACATGAACAGTGGAGAGCTCACACAGGTAAGAACAGCAAGACAGGGGAACATTGGTCCTTCAAGCTAGGGAGAGAAAGGAGAGCTGTATTCAGGGTTCTCTTGCTGCAGACCAGCTCTCAAATCAAACCCATGCTATCATTCTGTCTTAAATCCTGTTCCAGATGTTGAAATTATTTATTCCAAAACTATGTAGTCCAAGGCTGGGAGGAAAAAGTGGGGGAGAGGGAGGCATGGGGTGTGGTGGGGGCCCCTGAAGCCACATTTAAAAAAAAAGTCTTACCTCTGTGCTGCTGGATACATGCTTAAGTTTTCCCAGCCATACTCCAAACTCAAAGGGGTCTGGGAAAAAGAATGAAACTATTTTTATTCTGCATGTTTTCTGTGATTACTGCTGGCAATCTAGCTGGCCAATTGCTTCTCCCTCTTCCATTATCCTGCTGGGCAGAAGGCTGTCATTAGCTTTGGGGGGGCAGGGGGAGATGGAGTCACGCTTTCTCTCATCCTCATGCATAGGTGCTTCTCTTTTGCAAGCCTCACCAATCGGAGGACAAGGAGTAATAAAGATGCCTCCAGAGGGAGAATGGGCAGCTGGGAAGGTGTGTGTGGGGGAGGAGTGGGGAACACATCCCAAGATGCCATACTACAAAGCTCATGCTGGGAAGAATTGCTGGCAATTTTGAAACAACAACAAAAGAAATCCAATTTGTGAAGCTCTGGAAAAGTGTCTCAGTGCAGGTGGAACAAGGCAGAGGAGGGGAAATGGAGGGGGGCGGTGGTGGAAGAAAAACAAATGCACGCAGCTTCGTGCATCACGTATATATAGACTGGACCAGCTGGCAGCACCCACCCAGATGGAAGGACATCAAATTAGAACTGAAGGCCCGGCAGACTGACACAAACACAGAACTTCACACTTACGCATCATTTGAGATGTCAATGCCCTTGGCAAAAGCATCAACACACCCTGCAAGGTTTCCGCCTGCCACTGTACAGCAAGGGAAACTGAGGCACGTGACTGTTTAGTGAAACCAACTGCATAATGTTACAATGAAATATTTAAGTGGTGGCCACTGAATCCAACCCTAGTTGCAGGCCTGATTCAAGCCAGTGGGCATACCAAGGATCTTCTCCTATTCAGCATGAAAGACTTAAGTCCCTTTACTTAGCAAAAGCTACTGCAAGCAATAGAAATTACCAGCCAAGGTACAAAACCATCTAGGTCTGAGAAGAGGTAACCCAGGCAAATAAGAGCATTCTCTCTGTGTGGAGCCAAAGAAGGAAGGTACAAATGTGACCTTTAAGGGCAGCAGCAAATCTGACCTTCTTGGGTGCAGGGCTCCCTGGAGTGACAGTACTTGGATTTCTAAGCAAGAAAGCTCTCTGTTATTTGGCTCTGTGTTGGGAAAAACAAAAACATATATAAAGATTTTTTTTTTTTTTATAATATGGTAAAGTGGCACCAAGAATTTACCTGACTCAATTTCTTCTCTGAATGGAGGCATATCAGCAAGACCCCTGATACTGGCCACCTGCTTACATGAAACAGGACAATGTGAACAGAGATCACAGATATGCGTGGTACCTGAGACTAAGACAGGGGTGCATTGGCAATGTGTAGGGGGTGCATGCGGGTGCACGTGCACCTCGAGCATGGCAGTGCACCCCCTACGAAAAGGCGCCGCTGACACTGTTGGTGGCACTTGCGAGCAGTCACCATTCCCCTCCCCGCCCCCGATGCTGCTGGCAGCGTCTGTGGGTGGTCACCAACCCCTGGTCAGCACTTGCCACCCACCTCCCACCGCCAACAGCGTCTGCGAGAGCTCCCTGCTTACTGTCACCACGTTCCCGCCACCAACAGTGCCACCGTGCCCCCCAGCCGCCGGGGGGGCATGCGTCATCATGCAGGGGTGAGCAATTATTTTGGCTTGAGTTTTGGTGAGCTGTCGAGAGCAGCAAAAGTAGGCCCACTCTTTGAAAGGTGCCCCACCCCCTGGTTGCCACCTTGTAACCAGAAATCCCATGCCCTAACCTTTGCTAGGGGAAGCCCTTCCTTTTGCCCCTGGAAGTACTCCTTTTTGGAAGGGGGGGTTGCCATCTTGGAACCAAAAAAAAACCCAACAAATCATATGGTAAAAGTCAAACATCTACTATAATGCATTTTATTTCAAAAGATAAAAATTTGTCCTGATTTGTGTGCATTTGCATAGTCTATACAGAAGTGATTGAATAATAGGTCAAAAATAGTCTTACTCTTGTATATTGTGTGCAGGGGAGGGGGGCATGGGGGAGCATATGGGTGGGTGCATTGGTGGGACTTGAGGGGGGGCAGCTGTGGGTGAGGGGTGTAGGGTATGTTGTGGGGTGTGGGTGCACGTATTGTGGGAAGGTTGTAGGGGGATATGGGGACGCCCCCCCATGGCACACAGCCCCTACTGTTGGTGGTAGCAGCAGGCAATGGGCCCTCAGGGTGCTCATGGTCTCCACAGGTGCAGCCATCCACAGATGCATGGCTCCAGCCAGTTCCGGGAACTACACATGGCAACAAAGAGCAGAGCCAGGCTAACCCATTTCTATTGCATGCATGGCTCCCTACGACTCGTGCATCTCCCGGCACACAATGGAGCCGGCTGCCCTCCCCAGTCCCTGCCACCATGTGCAGCTGCTGGGACTCTACCAGGAAGCAGCACCACTTGCAGCGGAGTCCCATAAGCTGCATGTGGCGGCAGGGAGAGGGGAAGGCATCCGGCTCCATTGCATGGGGCTTCTCCCCGGTGGCACGCAAGTCCCGGGAGCTGCACGTGAGCCCTGTGTGATAGAGGTGGGACAGCCTGACTCCACTCCTTCCTGCCACATGGAACTGGCTGGAGCCATGTGCTCCCAGGTGGCTGCGCCTGCACGGACCACAAGCACCTCAAGGTCCTGACACCTACTGCTGCTGTTGCCAGCAAGGAATGTATACCATGAGGGGGCCTATGGGTGGTCCCCAACCCATAAGCTTCATACACCCACATCCTGCCCACCCGAGCTCCACGCTCCTGCTGCCATACTGGGCATGGGCTCTGTGCTCCCACCAGCCCTGCACTCCACTTCCCCATGCAGCTGCAGATTCCCTACCTGGTGCCTGGAGCGAGCACTGCAGCAAGGACACAGGAGTCACAGGAGGCCAGGGTAGATGAGCAAATCCCCTGGTGGCTGCAGCAGTGGCCCCTGCCCAGAAGCGGTGCGTGCTGGCTAGGGCTGGGGCTCTTCTGTGCAGGAGAGTGGGAGCAAAGCATGCAGGCTGGGAAGGGAACAATTAATTAATTCTTTGGTGCCCACAGGCTGGATGAAACCACCTGGGAAGCTGTACTTTGCCTGCCCCTGGACTAAGACTTTTCAACATGAAGAGCTCTTACCACTCGGACTGAAGGAATAACCTTGACCTGGAGGAATGACCTATCAGGAAGTAGCAGGCTTTATACTTACTGGTTCCAACTTTGGAAGAAGGTATAACATACACTAAGCTAGAATATTTCACTAAATGACTTTATTCATCTCTGGCCGAGATGGGAAGAGAACCAAGAGCTCCCAGCGTTCATCCCAATGCTTTAACTGCTATGCTACAGTGCCTAAAGTATGGGGTATACACTATAAAGGTCCATAAACCAGACCAGTTACATGTGGGTCAGGGAGAGAACAGTCCCCTTACCCAGCCATAATTTGCCATCTCTTTTTTTGAGAGACTTCCCAAAATAGCAGAAATGCAGAAAGCTCCGAATGTCTTTCCTCAAGTCATCAGCAAACAGCTTCCCGTGAAGCTGACATTCAGAAACAAAAAACAACCATTACCTTACAAACTGCTGAAGAGAACGAGAAATCTGTCAGGCTGATTTGTGATTAAATATTAAACATGCAAATCAGAGCCGTAGCCTAACGAACAACAGGCTGAGTGATCAGAGCCTGGGACCGAAAGCAGGCAGAAAACAGACAGCTACTAAAAAAAACTTGTGCACCTGCTCAACCAGTGCAGCCTAGGATGGATGAGGCAGGCACATGGAGTTGTATGTACAGCATCCTGGAGTGAAGGGCCCTCCTGACCCAAGATGATCTGATGGACAATAGAGGGAAAACAGAGAAGAGGAGCTTGACAGACAGAGGGTAAGAAGGGGAAACAGGAGGCTAAAGAGAGATGTGGAGCGGAGAGGTTAATAGGAAAGGATGGAGAAAGCAGACAGAGAACAAGGGCAGCCTTTTCTCTCCATATTTCTATGCAGACATCAACTCAGCCCAACTCAAGTGCTAAGCAGAGATGTCAGTTCAAATGCATGCCTCACTCAGGGGTGACCTTTTATCTGGGACAGTGCAGCTTTGAGTGGCTGTTCTTTTAGAAGAGGTGAAAGACTTCTGGCTACAGCCCTCTCACGATTGAAAAGTTTGGAGGCAGTCAAAGATGCTAGGATCCTCAGCAGAATTCAGAGAGGGGGCCGTTTTGCAGGAGGCAGGGAGGGAAAGCCAGGACATCTCTTAAATGTTCCCGTTAGCAATAGGTTCCCCTTCCTGACTATCTGCAAGCTGCCCTGTAGACACTGGCAGGGCTCCAATCCTGGCAGGGAGGAAAGGCATTAGAGCTACTGAGGTGTAAGACCAGGAAGGATGAGGAGAAAAAAGAACTGGCAAACTACATGGAAAAGTCAGGCACCTTCAGATCCGCACCATGAAAGGCAGAGACCCTAGAGCCCCAGTCTCACTTCTGTGGTGAATAACATACCTACATCCTTACACCACCCAAAGCCATTGAAAAGACCGTCATGAACAAGCCCCACAACCCAGTAAAAGGACAAGAGGATATCAATTCACCTAGAGACAGCAGCACTTTCCACTCCTCACCAGGAGACCCAAGCAGCACACAAGCATTGCTTGCAGAATCTGAGCACAGGCTTTAGCTAAGGTTTGGTCAAGTCTCTGCCATGACTAGTAGAAGGAATGGGTCATAGGCAGTCTGGAGGAGTACAGGGGTAGGCAAGTACCTGAGCCAGAGGAAGATCCAGACAAGGGGCTGAAGCTGCAAAACACTGTCAGAACCAGAGAGTCCAAGTCAAAGTCCTAGTGTAAACCCTATCAGAGTGCCTTGGGCAACTGAGGCATACAATGCTACCAGTTACATTTCTGCACCCCATATTAGGTCCGGGCTGTTCAACTGGTGGCCTATGGGCTGCATGCGGCTCCCAGAGCATTAATCTGAGCCCCACCCCCCGCGACTCCCTGTGGCCACCACTCCCTTCATTACTCTGCTGCTACTGCAGCCAGCGTCGCCCTCCCTTCTCTGGCTTGCCCTTCCTGCCCCCACACCAGAGATGCAGTATTGCAGGGTGAAGCTACAAACCCACATAATGCTGGGTCCACTTGTAGCTGGGAAGGTGAGGTGGCACAGCACCCCCACAGCATGCTGCCCCTAGCTCTTGTATTGGGCAACCCTAGATTAAATTATTCTATCCCTTACATTTAGGGATTTCCTAGAAGCTCTTTTTGCCTAAAAAGGCTACAGAATACTGCGAAAGAGGGGCTCTAGCCATCACAAAACACATCTAGCAGCCACAGCTACAAGACTGCATAAGCATGTAAACATATCCCACCAGGGCTAAGAAGAAGCACTATTACTCTGCAAACAAGCAGAACCAGTCAAATCAAGCTTTCTGTAACTGCCATTAGCTTCTTAAGTGTCAACCACCTTTAACAGGCAAATAACCCCCTAGTAAAATAAGTGGGGCACATCCGTCAGCAAAAAAATGCTACCCACCAGTACTAAAACTATTACCATTGTGATGGGGACACTTTTATAGAACCAGGAGTGAGAGACTGAGAGTTGATTGGCTAGACAAAACATCAAATCACAGAGACAGGCAGGGTTTCACTTTGCAGCTAAGGCTGCTAGGTAGGGAAGGCCTCTATAAAATCCACTGACTCCACCCTATCTAGACTTGCAAGGCTTGTGTAGGAAGGTTTAGTTGAAGGAAAGTAGTGGGAGGTGTTTTTGATGGGAATGAAGACTGACATTACAGAAAATATTTTTTTCCTGCTTTAAGTTTTGAAGCTCCCAAACTGCATGTTGCTGATTAATCTAGGTAGATTTACTGCTGCCCTTACCCAAACTGTTGCAACAGCACCAAGAGACCATAAGCAGGTCTAGTGTCTTATAGCATTAAGAGTTGTGCATGCCTGTGTAGGGTAAAGTTGCCTGTAAAGTGACTGGGGCTATCTTAGCAGCGAATGCATCACAGCATACTTCTAATTGCAACAGAATTTGGTCCTCTTCCTTCAAAACAAAACAGATCCACCTATCTCAGACAGATGAACTCTCCTACAGAAGCCTTCACGTAGGTTTTGCTTTGAGGTGGCCTGTCTGTTGGCCTTCTACTTGTGGGTCAAATAGCCTGATGAAAGACCACCTCCACCCCCCGACTGGGGCTAAGTCCATTCTCTCAAAGGACCAGTTAACCCCTTGCCTCTAAAGGGGCAGGAAGTCTACTTGGGAGGAAACATCTGCAGACAAAGTCTGTCTTGGTTGCAGAAGCCATTCTCCTACGTTTCCCCGTGCTTTGCCTAGGACTGCTTTAGACAGAGGCCCACCAAGCTCATGGACAAAAGAGGGAAGCAACCACGAAGCTAGCCAGGTTCTAACCCACTGTGAAAGGATTTGGAGGGACCAAGCAGGGGAGACGATCATCTAGCACAGCAATTCTCAACCAGGGTGCTGTGGCACCCTGGGGTGCCTTGAGATCCTTTCAAAAAGGTGTCATGGGGTGCCATGTAATGTTAGCACTGTTAAGTGTGCAAACAGGATTCACAAGATAACCCCAGAAGAGATTTCAAATTGGAATCTATAGTATCAAAACCATTCTGCCCTGCTGCGGGCTTTGAGTTCTTTGCAACAGAAGAATCTCTCTGTTATTTTTCTATAATCAAAAAAGAGTGAAAACTAAGAGCTGGCATTTTCGGGGGGGGGAGCCTTGAGTCTAAAAAAGGTTGGGAATCACTGATGGAGCAGGTGAGCAAGCCAGCAGTGTGCATGTGTATGCAAAAGACCAGCTAGCTTTTGCATATACCCTAGTTTGCACACAAGCATTTCCCATGAGGGTAGGCTGGGCACATGTGACTCAGCCTGCAAGACAGCCATGCCTGTTGTGCATATGTGGGTGAGCATTTCCACAGCCAAATGTGCAATCCCTTCCTCTCCTCTTACCTCTGTATGCACCCTGATCCTTCCACCACACTCTTCCAGCCTATGTGCTCTAGTGTGTGGGGAAGCTATTTTTATCCCCTCAGCCTCTGGAGAACAATGTGGTGAATTAGAATCAGGTGCAAGGCAGGGCCATGGGGAAAGGCAGGTATCTGGTTGCTATAGAAACCAGCTGTAGGAAAATGGAGATGAGATGGGAGGGGGATGCCTGCCCCCTCCCCATCTGCACCACATGATGAACTGCTTGCCTGCTACTGGGGGAAGGGGTGCAAAGTGGTAGCAAAGGGGCCCAGCTGTCTTTGGCTGGTGAAACCAGAGCAGATGGCGTGCACCAGCTGTACATTCCTGCAGGTGTGCTGTGGATTCCTATGGCTTTCTGGATGTGCATATGTGCTCACCTGGCTACAGATACTGGCTGGACAGGTCATCGTGGCATCCAGTGTGTATGGTGCCAGAAGGGGTAGCACAGCAGGCACTGTCAGTTCTCTGAGTGAACTGAATACCTGGCAGGGGCATGTGACATGGTATGGGGAGGATATGTTATAGTGCAGTTGGCACTGATGTGCAGGTCCATGATGGCCTAGCCAGAGAGCCCCAACAGTGGGTTGTGGATCCCAAAACACTTGTGTACAGGAAAACCTCATTAATTTGAAACACAGGGGACCCATGCCAAGCCCAATAGTGCTTGTCCCTTGGAGGAAAGGAAACCACACCACAGCACCAGCAGAAGGGAGGCTCATCTGAAAGCACACGAGTGAGAGCAAAGAGCATCTGTAATCATCTGTCCATTTGGACTGATGGTTAAAGTGCTTGTCTATGCCTGGGGAGGATCCGCATTCAATTCTGTGCACTGCTATTTGTGCCCTGCAAGACCTCTGGCAAGTCCCTTCACCTCAATTCTCTATCTGCATAATCTGTTCAAGAGCTGGGTCCTGACTTGCAGGAGGGTTGGGAATAGAAATGCTGTGTTCAGGAGGTGCTAGAACATGCTGTAATGGAAACAGACAGCTGCTTAGAGTTACACTGTGGAGGCCACACAACACCTCTCTCAAAGTGCCCAGTACACCAGCATTCGCCTCGTTTTCAATTTTGTAGGGGTGCAAGCCAGAACTGAGCCCTCTGAAATATGTAGTTTGGGTTAGGATCTCAAGCAGTTATAGGGGACACAATGAATGCAGCCCCCTTCATCTGAGGATCTCAGTTTGTTTTGCCAACATTCATTAGCCACACCAGCATTAGATCAGTCTAGTTGTTGCCATGTTATACACAAAGGAAATGGAGCACTGGATGAGGAAAGGGATCCTAGCCCTCCTGGGCTCAGACTGCCAGATCATGGCTTGTAGATGCCATCCAATCCCTGTGTAGGCAATAAAATTGCCATGTGTGACCTCAAAACTAACTTCTAGCCCCATTGCTTGCTAAATGTTCTAGGAATGCTACAGGCTCTGCCACCACTTCAAATTAGGGCTGCCAATTAACATTCCTCTTGGGGGTAATAAGGTATTACTTTTCTGAGCGCTGTGTCCCTCCCACAAAGTCCTATATAGGTCCAAGTCAGTGCAAACATCTTTGGGGTGCAGGGTAGCAGCCAACAGTATGAGGAAGAGAAATTGTGACCAAGAATACAGGACAAACTCTAGCTCTTGTGACCCTGCATGCCCATATAGAGGGGTGTAAGGCATTTGTTTTCACTACGCAGGCTGAACTAGATTTGTTCTTGGAAGGACTAAGGGCCAAATGGATCCTGGGGAGAGCTTTGAATTTGCGATTCCCAAAAGTCAAGAATTTTAAATGCAAAACTGAAATCACCAAGCCATCTCCTCTATGCGCAAGCACGGTGAGCTTTGAAGGTGCAACTAATGCTAGCACAGAAAGGGCTGGCCTGGTTGGGATGTGGAGACTCAAAGGGCTGGGGGACAACAGGTTCCTCACCACACAGGTTGAGAGGCAAAATGGCTTCGGTCCTCATGCTAGCACATGGTGGGATGGATGGGAGGATTCATGCTGATGCCATGCCTCCTACCCCCTGCCCTGAAGCTAAGTTTCTTCAGCAGTCTGCCTGTCCTTCCCCCAGAACCTCACTCTGCTGAGCTAGCTGCAGCCTCCCTGGAAGGTAGAGGCCATGCACACACAGCACAGTGATGCAAAGGGGCCTTGGAGGAATCACCCCACAACACCTGTGCCATATGCCATATTAGCAGTTCTTCCATACCAGCCACCTGCCAGTGAGCATGAGGCTTGGCAAGTTGGAGAGAAGCAATGGGTAGCAATGGCATGAATAGCTTTCTATCGTGATCCCCCACCAGCTTTTCCCTGTGCATGTCACTGTAGTGCTGTCAGCACCTAAAAACATGGGGCCATGGAGCTAGAGAAGGAAATGTGTTGGCTTGGGGATCGGAATGCCTGGGCTCTGTCCCCAGGCTCGCTGTAACGTCTTGGCACAGATACTTCTTCTGGGGCGCTAGGCTGAGCTGCCAGCTCCAGGTGGGCCCTACGGGAGGGGCTGTGGCTGCTCCACCCAGCTCCGCGGGGCCCCCTCAAAGCGCGGGGCCCAGGGCGGTTTCCCTGATTCACGCCCCCAAAGGATGGCTCTGTTACTGGGTCTCCATAAACTTCTGGTGGGTCTCTGCTTGTTTCCCAATAGATAAGCATCCATATCACAAAGAAAAGGCTATCACCATCACTGGTGGCTTCGGCAGTGGTGTCTCGAGGCAGGCTTCAGCTTCCTGGACAACGACCCGCACATCACGACGAGGGACATGCTCAGCTGGGATGGGCTTCACCTGTCCCCCAAAGGTAAGCGTGTGTTTTCTTCTAGGTTGGCGGATCTCCTCCGGCGGGCTTTAAACTAGGCTCATCGTGGGGAGGGGAAGATGAGAGCGGGGGAAGCTGTGGACCACCAAACCATGTGGCACCCACAAGGACAGCCCAGCCTGAAGAAAGAGAGCATTGGGAACCTGAAAGCCATGGGGAGGCCAGCACTAC